GGAGGGGGGCGGTTGGGGTAGGCCGGATGGTGACGGAAAAAGTGATGAGGCGTCGGCGAGGCGGCGAGGACGTGCTCCACAGACAAACTCTGAACCAACACATAATCAATCAGATCAGAGACATACATCAAATCAAGACACACACACAGGAACAAACGTGTATCTTATCTGGTGTCTCTCTCGTCTGTCCCCTCCCTCCCCTCCCTCCCCTTCCTTACCTCATTGTCGTAAACCCCACCAGTGGGCATTCTGACGAGCCCCTTGGCATTCATGTGCTGCTGCTGGCCCGCATTGCCCGTCACCGCCCCCACCCCGCCATGGCTCCGCCCGGGACCGTGCCGCCTGTTGCTGTTGTTGCCCCTGCACCCGTTGTCAAACGACGCACTCTGCTGCGGAGGCGCCGTCAGTGGCGTGTTGGGAGCCGGCCCACCACCAGCACCCCCCGGCCCGTTCCATCCGTTGAGCTTGGCGCCCTGGCCGTCTTGTCCCCCCAGTTTGGATGGGATCGACACCTTGAGGTTCGAAGGCCGTCGGCCGTGGTGCGTCCGCCGCATCCGCGTGCCCTTGTCCGCGTCCGTGACCGACGGCGGCGGGATGGCCTCGGTGGTTGGTGGCGTCTCGGATATGCAGAGCGTGAATTCGCTGCTGCCTGCCTTGTCGCTCATCTCCACATAGGCCGCGGCCCCGTCCGTCATCGTTGTGCTGCCGTAGACGCCAGCGGCATAGGGTGGCGGCAGGGGGAGTGCGTCAGCTGTGGCCATCGGTCGGTCGTTGGCTGAGTCGTCGTTGATGTCTGCAGCAAGGAAGGCAAGGGCGACAGACGCTCGCTGCGGTAAGCTGCTTGCGCTTCGTTAGTGCGGTCTGAGGGTGGGAGAGCGTCGGTTGGGTGGCTTGCCGGTGGAGACGTGATCTGGCCTCGCCAGCCGTGCAGGCAGTGCTCCCGCTGTCTGTCGCTGGATGATCCGCACCCAACCAGCTCAGCTGCCTCGCTCAGCACGTCATCTATGTGTGGGACGTTGAACGCGGTGCGGTGATCTGATCACTGCGGCAGACACGCCTCGTGGTTGCGCGCGGGCGGGAGCGATGCGGCAAGATGGTAGGGGGATCTACACACACTCGGTAAGGGGGTCGCGCTGCCGTCTTCGTTCTCCTTAGTCTGGGTCTCGCGAGCTTACAAGCTCGCATGTTGAAGAGCGCGTGAAGAGGGCGAGATGATGGGGACTATGACGCTGCAGGAGTTCCTGGAGATGATCTGCCAAAAGTTAGAGCCAGCCACTAACTATCGTTGCAACCATTGCATTGCATGACGACTCTGATCTATGCATTGTATTGCATCCCTCCCTGCCTCCTTGCTGTGCTGTGCTGTGCGTCTGTCTGTCTGTCTGTCTGTCTGTCTGTGTGTCTGTGTGTGGTTGCATTGCTTGCTGCAGCGTCGCAGGCCTGCAGACAGCTGTCATCACCGATAGGGACGGTGTGCTCATGATGAAAGGTCGGGGAGGGACCAACCGTACGTAACTCAGATGCGGCTCAGTGCAGGAGGCGAGGGATGCTCAGTGCAGGGATCTCCCTCCTGGTGTTGTTTGTATCTGTATGTGTGTGTGTCAGCTCCGCCTGAGGCAGTGCATGACCCAGGGGTCATCCAGATGCTCACAACCGTCTTCTCCATCAGTGCAGACCAGGTGAGGTGAGATCCGTGTGCTGTGCTGCAGGTCAGGTGGCTGATATATACGCAAAGATGGCTTCGCTGATCCAATCCATGCATCGCATTGCATTGCACTGCATGGCTCTGTCTGCGGTTTAGATTGGCAAACTCTCGTCGCTGGGCCCGACCAACTACCTCATTGTGAGCCAAGTGGCGGGTGGGAGATTCATGCGTGTGTGTTGCTCCTCATGGCCTGCCTCTGTGTGGAATGTGTGTGTTGTGTGTGTGTGTGTGTGCAGACGTACCTTGAGGACACGGTGTGCATCCAGGTCAACTACCTGCCACTCGTCATGACCTTCTTCGGCACACCAGCACTCAACATCGGTCAGTCAGTCAGGCACCTCAACCTCCACTATATAAGGCAGACGGACGTTTTCGCGCATGATCGCGTCTACCTGTGTGTGTGTGTGTGTGTGTGTCCAGGGTACTTTTTGGACACGCTGAAGCACCTGCTGATGGCCTTCGAAGAGCCGAAAACAGTCATTGCGGCCGTGCAGGAGCCGCCAGAATGATGCAGGATAGAACAGCTTAGCTAGACACGTGTCTTGTATCCACCCACTTAAGACGGATGGGCTGCATTGCATGCCATGCGTGTGGTGCTGGCTGGCTGGCTGCTGTAGAGAGTGTGCAGCGATCGATGGATATGTACAGCTCAGCTCAGCTGGATGCTATGGTCAATACGGTATCCAATGGTATGGAATGGTGTAGGTAGAGATGATAGGATGTCCGAGGGAGGCCATTGATGAGGCAGCCGATCCGATAGATTAGGCGGCGTGCCACCAGTGTGTGTGCGGGGCTGGCTGACCGATTGACGGCCCGATCGACTCACCGATTGGTGCCGTCAATCACAGTCAGTCACTCACGCGGACCCATTTGTCGCATTCCACTCTGCTGCTGTGCGATGGAGAGAGACATCTGTGACTCAGTGACATGTAAGGAGAGAGTCGATCCTAATGCACCAAGCGATACGAGTCGCATCACACACGCACATCCACTTCCCCTACGAAACCAACGCACACCATCCACACGCACACGGACACGCACACATAACCACAGACGCACAGCCAGCCTAGCTTAGACGTCATTTCTAGCGCCATCCATCATTCAGTCACATCAGTCGTCCGTCCTTGTCTTGCTGTGTGGACGGGGGGTCACCTCCGTCCCCCGGGGGAAACATGACGGCTGCCCGGGGGTTGGGGGGGAACTCTCGCAGCCGAGCTCTCACGTTCTGCCTCTCCTCGTCCCCCTTGTCTAGCAGCTTCATGGCCATCTCGATAGCACGGTCAAGCTGCGGGTCGACGCCTGACCGCTGCCTCACACAGACACCCACACACAGATATCAACAAAAGTGCTCTTACACATCACCAAGGCGTCCATCCCATCCTGTCCTGTAGCCACAACACGGACATACGTAGTGCTGTGGTGCGTATTCGACGGTGACGTCCGGATCGACCCCCCAGTTTTCGAGGCCGAAGCCGACGTCGTGTGTGAAGTAGTGCTCATACGGCACCGCCACGGTGCCGCCGTCAACCAGGTCAACGTCACACGGACCGACCGACACCACACTGCCCCATGTTCGCTTGCCAACCTGACTCACACACACCATGCAGTTCAGTTAGTTGACGCGTGTTTTCCATGGCATGGCGCGGTGCCATTCGTCCGTCTCCCAGTGTCTGTCGCTCCCACCCCACCAGTGGTCCGAGCTTGAGTAGTTTGAATGTGTGGCACCAGACGTCGGCGTCGCTGCCGGCGTTCTCGTCTGCCAGCATGACCATGGGGCCGTCGACCGAGTGGCGGGGGTAGGATGTGGGGACGCCCCGCCCCTGACGGGGGGCGTTGTACCCCAGGTGGCGCCGCTGCAGCTTCTCCAGCATCAACTCGGACGAGTAGCCACCTAGGTTGCCACGAACTGCTTGCAGAGAGAGAGCAGAGGAGAGCAGGAGCAGACAGATGGGCGGTGCTTTTTGTGTTCGTGTGTGTGTGGGGGGGGGTGGGCGGGTACCATCGACGATGAGGGCGTCTCGCTGGCACTCCACCAGATAGTAGCTGAGACAGGGAGGGAAGGGGAGGTTGTGTGTGGTGTGGTGTGGTGTGTGATTGATGTCTGTCTGTCTGCCGCCTACCGGTGGAACTCGGCAAACCCCAGCCTCTCTGTGTCGGGCACCCGCACGTAACCTACATATCGGCACACAGAGAGGTATAGAGTCACATATGGCCATGGATGGCATAGACGCCAACATGGTCTGTCTGGTCAGGCAGCTCACCGACTCGTCCATTGGTTCGTGTGTGCACGGTGTTTCCGTTCTTCTCCACCCAGTCCCTGCACCGACCCACACGGTCGCACTCCACACCCACAGCCTTGACGCGCACTCTGCAACACACAAACCGACACACACACACAACAAACACATCGACTCACCAGGTGCCGCACACAGAGTGAGTAGATAGTCAGAGAAAGCCGTGACTCACGTGCGCCACGGCGGGTGGAGCATCTGCATCTCAATTCGGCTCCCACCACCACCACCACCACCTCCCCTACCGTCATCTCCTCCTCCGCCCTTGTGCTTGTGCCCCTTCCCGCCGCCTTGCCGCTTCTTGTCTCGCCGCTTGGTCAGGAACCCTGTGGTGCCACCGCCCTTGCTGCCTTTGCCGCCGCCCTTGTCCTTATCCTTGCTGCTGGCCCTCTCCCTGTCCTTCCGGCGGTCAGCTGCGGCCGGTGGGGGTGGGGCTGTGGGCGGAGAGGGAGAGGAAGGAGTGTCGGCGCTCTTCCACGCCAGATAGGCGGGGAGGTCGCGGGAAGGCACAATGGTCACGTACACCTGACGCGTGCAGTGCAGAAGAGGCAGGCGTTGATATATGCGTGGGCGTGTGTCCGTCCGGTTGTACGTGTGTACCTCTTTGCCAGCTCTGTCTCTGAGTGTGTGTTGTGGGGTGATGTGTCGAGACAGGCGGCGGCCATCGATGGCCACGACGTAGTCGCCCTCCTTGACCTCACCAACACCCACTGCCGACAGGGGACCGCCCCCACAGGCGTCCCACGCGTCGCCACACACCTGCCAGCAAAGCATACCATTCACCACACGCAGCGCAGCGCAGCGCAGAGGAAGGAAATGAGCATCCGCCTGTCCGTGAGACAGACAGCCATACCATGTGTGTGATTCGGTATGCCTGCGCTTCCTCAGACCAGTCGAAGTCAGCGCCGAGAAACCCCTGTGCGTCGTCGTCGTGCTGGAGCTGTTTGTGTTCGGTATCGTCTCCCCTGCCGTATGTCCACGTGTGCCCCACACCCAGCTCGCTTATCATCTCCTCTATCACGTCAGTCAGCTCTCGACGACAGCCGAGCCGACCCAACAGCGGCCAATACCTACACACACACATACACACACACACACCCCCACACACACACACAGAGAGAGAGAGAGAGAGATGGGTAGGGCGGTGTGAGTGAGGACGTTGTGCATGCCATGCCATGCCTACTTGTGTTTGATTCTGTTCCAGTTGAGTCCGCCCATGTGTTTGTCGAAGAAGAACTCCCCCAGCCGCCGCCAGGTCTCGGCAAACATCTGCACCCACTCGTCCGCTGGGGTCACCTGCACACCACACGCCCATCCATCCATCCATCCATCCAATGGTGGCAGCACCCATCCCATCCCTCCCCTTCCCTCCCCTCCCTGCCGACCTCGAGAGTGATCCTGCCGTCGATATCGATGAGTCCCGACTCCCTCCCCGGCTGGTCCTCGTCGATGTCCTCACCGTCGCTGTCCTCCTCGCTGGGCTTGACACCTGCACACACACCAGCACACATGCAGGACCCCCCAATTAACGGCCGGGCCACTCACCGGTTTCATAGACGCGCAGTGTGGTCTCGTCGTCTTCTTCACACAGCAGGGCGGTGGTCTGAAGAGTCCAGAGAGAGCCATGCAGGGTACCTTTCCGGTGTGTTGCTGATCTGTGTGTGAGTCATACCCGTCCGTCGTGTGACACTTGGAATGAGTCCACATCGTCGGCCAGCTTCCGCTCCTTCATACGGCTGAAGTCGAAACTGCACAGACACACAGCGCACAAAGACACGCACGACACATGTGTGAATGCATAATATTATGAGAGCTCTCTCTCTCTCTCTCTCTCTCCCGTCGGTCCGTCGGGTCGCTACTGCCTGACCTGAAGAGGTGTCCCTTGCCCTCTTGTTCTTCCTCCTGAGGCCCCTCGCGCACATCGGCCTTCCGCCCGCCCTTGAGGTGACGACGCACAAAGACTATCCCGCCGCGACGGACGCTAGAGCCCTCAGCGGCCAGACTGTCCACCTGCATTGCAATGCATGAATGCGATGCGACCCAAGCATTCACACACACGGACACGCAGGTGCAGGCGCGACGCACGAGGTGAGGTGGGTGGCAGCACCTACCTGTCTGTAGTCGCCTGCAGGCAGGGGGAATTCGAGTATCCGCCGGTGGATGCCGTCGAGGTCGATCAGCACGGGGGGAGGCGCAGACTTATCCTCCTCACCCTCATCACCATCCTGTGGCACACACCACAAAGAAAGAAGACAACACAGATCAGACCTGCGCTGTGTCTCTCTCTCTCTCTCTCTATCTCGCATTCCCACCGATCGGCCCACCTCGTCGTCGCTGTCATCGTCCTCCGATTCCTCTTCGTCTTCGTCTTCGTCTTCCGATTCTTCCTCCTCCTCGTCGTGGTCGTCTGCTGGTGCGGTCGGGAGGCGCTTCAGCGGGCTGGGCGTCGAGCGCTGCAGTGTCACCGCATACGGACGGATGGAGCCCGCAAATCCCAGGTCGAAATGCACCTCATCCTACACACATCACATCAGCACACAAATGGCAGGCAAGAAGGACGCTGTTTGGTTGGGTACCTACCTCTCGTGTGATGAAGGCCCGGTTGGATAAGAAGTAGAGGTAGCGGCCGCCTCGGTCGAATGCGGGTGAGAAGTCCTTGAACCGCGGCTTGGTCACGTCAGCCAGCTGCCCCGTGGGCACGTGGTACAGCCGGATGACGGACGCCTCAGCCGACGACTGACACACACGTACACACGTACACGGGACGTACAGACCAACCAACCGACGCAGGCAGGTGCAATGATCGCTTCACTGGCACTTGCTGACCATATATGCGAATGCCAGCCACTGTCCGTCGGGGCTCCATGCCAGGCCCCCTATGCCGCCCTCATGCTCCCCACGGCACACCACAGTCACCCTGCCGGTCACGCCGCCGCTCGCTATCCGACGGGACGCACACGCATCCCACGACTCACGGCCGCCCCCATCTCTACCACTTTTTCCCCTGCCTTTGCCCTTCTCCCTTTGCGGCTTGTCAGTATCGTCCAGTGTGATGAGCAGCAGCTCCAGGCGATGGTTGACCATTGCAATGCACGAGCTGGTGGGCGACGACTCGACATCCTCTGGCAGGCCCACATCCACAGGGTCGGTGCTGCCGTCGGCCCAGCTGAGGTCGACTGGAAGGAGGGGTGGTGCGTCGGCGGGCTGCAGGAGATCGGAAATGTAGGGCTCGACCCTCGGCTGACCCTGGCTCTCTTGCATCTCCTCCTCTGCCAGCGCCCTCAGCCACTCATTAGGGTCGCGTTCGGCCATGGAACGAACCTGACAGATGGATGCAGGGGATGCAGGCAGCAAAGAAACAGACGACTGGCTGTTGTGTGACTCTGTGCACGCGTGGACATGCGGCACCGACTGACCATGAGTTGGATGGGTCCGTCTGGTGGCAGGCAAAAGGTGGCCAGGCGACCGTCGCTCAGGTAATGGGCACCGTAACATCTGGCAGGCAGGCAACACAAAACAAAACGGGACAGATCCATAACTGAAGGAAGGAACCTATCTATCGACCGGGTAGTAGCGAGCAGCTACGTCGGTGTATAGTATACCTGTGCAGCGACGAGAGGTTCAGAGGGAGTGCGGGTCCCTCCCAGAGAGCCATCTCAAATGGCTGACCACGGGCTATCACGCCTATGTGGTGACCCTGAACGAACGAAACCAAACAGCGACGTCGTGTTTGTTGGTCGGTTGGTCGTTCCTCTCCCGGCTGGCTACTTTCGGGTGTATGCAGTATTCCTCTAGATAGTCGGATGGCTGGACGATGCGCGGTTGACGCTTGGTACGGGCCGTCCACAGCCGATAATCCAGGTGGACAGGTGCTGACACTGACAGACAGACAGACAGACAGGCAGACAGACATGCAGCGAAGAATCTCACAGGTGAGGTGGGTATCCATCTGTGCCTACCGCTGCGGCAGTCTTGTCCCAGGTCGAGCACAAAGAGATCTCCGCCCGCATGATAAACCACCCGATGGGCCCCCGGGCCGCTCTCAAGGGTGGGGTTGCGCACATAGTGGTCCCTGACCCGCCAGCACACGATGGATGTACTGGCTAGAGAAGTCCCATACATTCGGTGTTTCGTTCCACAGGCCTACTTTTGGAACGTGTGTCGTCGGACGTCGTCCCCCTGCAGGCTGCAGCTGAAGATGTTGGCACACGCCCCCGCCCCCGCAGCAGTGTCCCCATCCACATAGGGCTTCATCTGCAGGTCCTCAGCCACAAACACCACCCTATCCCCCAACCACATGGGGCTCCCCACGCTCACGCCCTCTCGAGACTCCTCGCTATCACCACCACCACCACCACGACGCCTCAGCTCCAGCTTGGCATATTCGCCATCGCCCTGCGGGTCGATCCAGATGACTCCTGAGGCACCTCCCTTGTAGCCCTTGAACTGACTGATGTGGGGGTCACTCGTGTGCCGGCCAAGCAACCTTGGCACAGCAGAGGAGGGATCCTGTGTGCCGTTGCCGGTGGTCGCGAAAGCACATGAGTCGGCGAGGCCGAGACTGAGAGGAAGGGGGTGGGGGTGGGCCGAGGTCGGGTCGGTGTCGGCTGTGGGAACGGCGACGCGGAACAGGTGTTGGTGGTAGGAGTTGATCTGCTCGTAGGTCGATGTGACGATGACGCTCTTGCCGTCAAGCTGCCACGCGACGGGAGCGGCGTACGAACCTAGGACACAGAACAGACACTCGATAGATGGATGGATGGCTCGTACGATTCTGCTGTTCTAAGTGCGTGGGTACCGAAATGAGTCAGTCGGTTGATAGCCCCCCCACTGCTGGCCATGGTGAAGACCTCCGTGGCTCCCTTGTCGCCCACCTCGGCACTGAAGGCCACCGTCTTGCCGTCAGGGCTCAGCAGCGGGAAGGAGCACTGCAGGCCGGATGTCAACCGATGCGGTGGTGACCATCGAGGGCTACCGCTGACAGTGCCTCGCCAGAGGTCATCCTCACAGACAAAGATGACTTTGTCGCCGTGAAGAGTGGGCATCGAATAGTAGCCGAGGACTCCCTCATCTGCGTGGTCTTGGGACGGCTGCTGACCTTGCAAAGAGAGCCTCGAGAACTGCTCCTCGACAGACGGTGAGGCGGCGGCCATCATCTCCCTGTTAGATGACGGGCGCCTGGGGAGGGATGACGATCTCCGATGGATGAATGAGGGCGACGAGAAGGCTTGGGTTATCTCAAAGGGGATCACCAGATGCCAGATGCAGCAAGCGAAGCATGCATGCATCGACACTTGTCGAAGATCTGCTCAGTAGCGCGAGTCAGATAGATCTGTATCCTATCACAGGGAAAGATCTGTCTGTCTGTTCATGGATACCTTGGCGCACGTTACGGTCGGTCGGTCGGTTATGGGTTTGATTTCTAAGCTCGGCGTCACTCGGCCTTTTCCACTTCTAAGCTCGCAGCCGAGGAAGTCGTTGGAGGCGGAAGAGAGAGAAGAATCGAGGCAGGGAGGCAGGCAGGGAGATCAGGCCAGATGAAGTTTGAGGCGTACTTCGTTCTTCCCATCGGCGGTGTCATTTTGGTACTGCTGTTGTGTGGCATCCGCCGACTGCAGAGGATGGCGGTCTGGCTCGGGCACGTGTCGATGTCCATCGGAGGCTTCCGTTTTTCCGTCATCCACTTCTTTGTAAGCGGCACCACACACGGATCTTGCTATTCATCCTTCTGGTGTCTGTTTGTCTGTGCGTCCTGTTGTGGCTACATGCAGCTCTTCGTGACGATCTTAAGCTTTGCCGCGCGCTCGTATGCGTTGTCGAAGATCCAGGATAGGAGCAAGGACCAGATGTACGGGAGGGCGGGTGAGCCCGACGTGCATGGCCGCTCTTTCCATGTTCATGCGTGTGTGCGTGCGTGTGTGTGTTGTGTGTCAGGTCTGCCTGTCGAGTTCGATGACAGGTACAGAGGCAAGGAATGGCGGATTGAGAGGAACTGGTGGATCTGCCTTTTCGCATGTGCGCACGCCGCACGCTGAAGGACACACACATGCTCCCTTATATCCAGGTGTTGCACTTGTCTGCCTGCAGGCACCTTGTGGATGATCATTTGGCGCATCGCATCCACATTCAGCTACTTCTGGCACGAGATCGAGAAACTTGAGGAGGGCGGTCATGAGGAGAAGCCCCCGCCCCCTCAGTCGGCACTGCCGAAGCCAAGCGCCCCGGCCAAGAACGAGATCGAACTCACCGAGCGCAAGAAGGCGGCCAGTGAAGCGCAGAAGGGCGATGTGGCAGAGGAACAACAGACCCCAGCTGAGAGCAAGAAGCAGCAGTGAGGGCGGGTGTGTAGATACGAGTGTCGGTCCGGTGCTTCTGGGTGGTTTTGTTGAAGTTTTTTGAGTACAAATGTGCATTTATGTGCCGTGACGTTTGTTGGTGAGACGTCCTCACATGAGTGTCATCTCAAGTCTGTCAAACTGTTTGTGAGTGGTGAAGCTTCGACTGTTGCAGCGTGCATTCAGCGTCGTTCTCATTTGCCGAGTGCGGCAAAGCTGCCGACCTTCTCTGTCAGCAGACTTCCATATGCCTCACTGAGGGACAGAAAATGAACAATCATTCACACAGAAAATGAACCATCCTCTCTCTCTCTCTCTCTCTCTGTGTCACTCACGAGTTGAGATACTTGACCGATAAGCTGGCGGGCCGGAGCTCTTTCACGGACGGTTGCACCCCTGTTGACACACACACACACACACACACGTGAAAGGGCAGAAGACAGAGCAGCATCGACTGGTGTGAGTGCGGACCTGCGGATGGGGCGACATCCATGATGGGCAATGACACAGTGATGTACCACTTGCCTTCCCCCTGGTTGTTCATCTGCACTGACGGCACGCAATGAAACTTGACGGGGTGCAGCAGCTTAACCGTGCTGCATCGCATCGACACACACAAACCACACACGCGCATTGATGAGATGCTTCGTGGCTGTGAGCAGAAAGAGAGTCTCCTCTTAATTGCGTCTCGTACAAGTCCGTGACTTTGATGGATGTCATGAGGGCAAGCAATCGCCTGACTGGATAGGCGAGTCGCAGGTTGAGGTAAAGGAAATCGCCAACAGCATTGTAGCCTGAACCACACATATAAACGCAAGCAATGGTGCGCATGTCATCTTTTGTCTCCTTCGCTCACCGACGAATGATGGATAGATGTCTGAGTCTCTGACGGTCGCCGGGACATGGTCGAGGAGGATGGCGTACGTCTCATACTCTCCCTGTCGCTCAAACCAGAAGCGACTGTTGACTTGCGTGTGTCGTTTGGGCAGCAAAGCCAGGGAGCCACCCAGCATGGACAGAGCCAACAGACAAGCGAACAACAGCTTCATCGTGCTTGAGGACGAAAAGCAGCCAAAGGTGTGTTGATTGGCGAGCTGTATACATGTATATGTCTCAATCAAGATGCATGTACAGTACTTGTATGTATGTGTACACATTCTTATCCGCCAAACCACTAGTGGTCAGGTCACTTTTTCTTGCCCTTTCCCTTGGCCTTGCCGCCCGCCTTCTTGCCCCCGCCTTTCTTGGGCTTCTTCTTCCTGCAGGCAGGCAGGCAGGCAGGCAGCCACAACAAAGCAAGTCAACCAACACACCATTCAAGTCATGTCTCATCATCCTGCCACACGCGTCTCTGTCCTACTTGCTCTCGAGCTCGTCAATGATCTCCCGCCGTCGACTGAAGAGTTCGTTTTCCCTGCACTCCTCCCTCTCACGTATCCGCATTTTCATCTCCTCCAGGTCCCACGACCGAATTGAGGCGTCTCTCGATGCCGTGTAGAGCAGCGTGTCGCTGAAGGCCATCCTGAGGATGCCGCCGTCATGCCCATGCAGGTCGTCCAGCAGCCGGCGACTCTTGGTGTCCCACACCTTGATGGTCCCGTCTTCAGAGGCGCTGTAGATCTCGCGGCCGTAGACGACCAGGTGAGTGACGGCGTCGCTGTGGGCCTGCCACGAGTGCTCGAAGCCCTCCAGAGCCGCCGCCACCTTTGCAGCCTCCTTGCCCGTCAGCGATGGATCCTGATGGCCCAGTGTGACGGACAGCATGTTCTCTTCCATTTTTGCATTGAGTGAAGGCTCACCACGAGTACCCATTTGCAGATTCGTCCATCGGAGAGCCCAGCGAATCCCCTGTCCAGGCCACTCGGGGACGCAGCCGCCTGTCTCGGCGACGTTGGAGCAGGTGATACCCCGTCCTGGCAGAGCACGTGAATGAACCGTTAGCTCTAATGTATTCTCTGGCCCTGACTGTGGCCTGCCTGAACGCCTTACGCTGGGCGGTGCATTTTCGTCGAACACCCACAGACTCGTCACGGCTGAAGGTAGAGAAATACACCTCAATCAATCTCATTCTCGTCCATGAGTGCGCCTAGCTACGTACCTGCTTCACCGATGTCAGACACGACATTGTACGTAAGAGGAGTTGTCGGTGGATGCGGTAGGAAGGGCTCGGGGCCAAACGGAGCAGCCACAAGGCTCCTCGTGACTTTGCACGTCAGCCCGCCGAGGTCAATAGCACGGAGACACCCGTCCCAGCACCCCACCATCAGCACACCTCTCGGTCCCTGCCCGAGCCAGGTGCCTGGGGAAGGACTGAACGTCACCACGCTCACTGGGGTGGCGAGACGCAGCACATGAGTGCACACTGGCGTCACGTCGAGAGCTTCTGAGAGGGCGACTGAGGAGTCTCCTGCAGCACTGGCTGCCTGCGGGGCCTCCTCCCCCATTTCCTATTTGTGAGACATAGAAGATATGGCATCGACCCATCATGCTTGTCTCTTTGCTGACCTCTTCATCAGCTCCCTGTGTCTCCGGCTGCGGTGGTCTGGCCGCGTCCGTCGTCTGTGGACGCAGCTTGACGTCCAGATCCCAGAGACGGACACAGCCATCGAGCGAGCCGCTGACGAGACGACCCTTCGTCTTGAGCAGCGAGGATATCTTGCCTGCAATGAAAAGGCGCGCCAACAGTGCCAGGCTCAGTCGTTTCCGAGATACGCCCACCTTTGTTGGGGCCCTCGACACCAGCCTTGGACGAGTCCGGCTCGATGATCTCAAGCGCCGTGACTGCATCCCCGCTTGTGTGGCCGCCGTACTCACCAATGAAAGCGCCGCTCTGACACATGACAACAAAGCAGACACCAATGTGTGTCTCCCTCTTGCCTCTCTCGTCATCCTTGCCTCGAGGTTCCACTGGATAATCGTTCCCTCAGACGTGCCGCCGAAGGCCCGTTGCAGAGCGAAGGTCAGTTGATAGCTCAGTACACACAAATGGCTCCTCCTCTTTGCCCCGATTGTGACAGCAGCAGCCGCCATGGGCCTCCCGGCTTCCTCTCCCTCCTCATCCGGCAATAGCGATAGATCCAGCTTCTTGGCCATTGTCTTCTTGGGCAGGTTCCATAGCCTGAGTGTGCCGTCGGCTGCCATGGACAGGAGAAAAGCTGAAGCACAAGGGCAGTCGCCATGGCAGCCAATACACGCATCGCCGTGACAGTGTCTTGTCTTTGCCTACGTCCTTCTGCTCCATCTGGCTTGGAGAGATACACGACGGCATGGCGGTGGCCTCGCAACTTCTCCTTATACAGCTTCGGCTTGGCGCTTGGCGGCCTCGAAAACATCGCGAGACCAACTTCAAGACGCCACGGGGGGCCGCCCCCATTGAAGGAGGGGATGCATGCATGCAGATCTTTTGTTGCAGCTATTGACAAGGCAATTACAATAAGCCAGTGTCGATGAAAGCAGACACAACTCACTACTCACAAAGATCCACTCATCTGCACGAGCGAATCTGCCGGCATGGCATCAGTCAGTCTACCATGATCTACCGTCGACCTGCCTATCTGCGACAGGTGTGGCTGCCCTACGCTATCTCCAGCTGCGTGGGGCTACTCCTGACTACCACGAAGGGCAAGCCAGCCACCTCCAGTGCCGCGTCCACAGCAGACGTTGCCAGATAAGCTGGGTATGGCAGGCGTGTGAAGAGCTCCTTCTTCTCGCCCTCGTCGTCACTATATGTGGCTACAGGCCTGCAGAAATCGATCTGCTCGGGGCTGCGGTCTTCGTCCCGCACCGGCGTCTCCCTCAGCGTCAGGCGGCGCAGACCTGACACACATACAGCAGGGAGATCCATCATGTCCGGCAGAAGGACGCGGGTTGGACTGACTGAAACCCACCTACCTGGCGTGTTCTGCACGACGGCGACGATGAAGTCTGTCTGCACGTCCCCGTGCACTGAGTGCACGCAGCGGGGCGCGGCTAGCAGCAAGTGCCGGCTGGGGATGAGCCGGCAGGCCAGGCGGCGGTCGGTGAACAGCAGATAGGGGGCTGAATCGCACAGCTGGGAGGGGATCCTGAGGCTGCCACGCGTATCGTAGTAGTAGTTGAAGGCCTCCAGATGAGCTGTTGGCGCACCGAGGAGGCGATGGCACTCCAGGAGGGTGTCGACCAGCTCCTCCGGTGCTACCGCTGCTATCCCGTCACCGACAAACATGGAGTCCTTCTGCTCGACGAACAGCTGCCTGATCTGGCCGCTCACGTTGGTCAGGATCGGGGTCAGTCCTCCATCGTCGATCATCGCTTTCGTCGGATGCTCTATGCGGAGCTTGTGGCACTTGGGGAAGCGCCTTCTCGCGACAGCTGCCCCATCCATGCTGCTGCTGCTGCTGGTGCTGCTGCTGGGACCGCTGGAAGGGGCATGCGCAGGCATGATGGGGAAGAGGAATGATGGCTGGTCGGCGCTGGGCGGGTCGCCCTCATCCCAGGGCTGCAGCGTGACCTTCGGCGCCTCCTCAAACACCACATCACCAAACGTCGGCCGCACATCGGCAGTGGACCAGGCGGAGATGAGGACATCCTTGGCTCTCCGCGCCCTCTCATGCACGTACCGGACGGATAGCGCATCACCGGCCTTGATGCGCAGCAGCTCGTCGGTGAAGAGCTCCTGCTCGATGCGCAAGTTGAATCGGTGAAGAGCCCCGGCCCGCGCAGGCCGCTTGGGAGGCGCAGGGGGGCCTCTGTTGTGTCGTCCGGCTCTGGGTCTCTTGGCCGGTGGGTGTGGCGAGGGAATGAGGTCCTGGGTGCCGTTGTCGTGTTCGGCGTCATCGTCTGACGCGTCGCTGGCTGTGGGGGCGGGGACTGGGTGGGGGAGGGGAAGGGGAAGGGGTGGCCCATCGGGCATCGTGGTCACGACGGTGGACTCTGCACAAATGCCCTCTCCAGCAACCTCGCGCACAAATCTCCACAGGCGCGGCAGTGCCTTGTTGATGAACTCATCATACGAGCCCAGGTCGCACCATTCAGGGAACTTGATGGCCACTCTCGCGATGCGGCCCCGCACGCCGTCCTCGCCACCGACCGCCCCCTTGGCCCGCAGCACGCTGACCAGCTTGCTGCTTCTGACGGGATCTCCGAACTTTACGACACCGAGTGACACCAGCCTCGCAAGTGAGGGGCAGGCGTCGAGCGCCGCCATGTCACCGTCTGCATCGATGTACATCTGGAGGTGGGTGAGGTCAGTGGTGGCGCGGAGCCAGGCGCGAATGAACTCGTCGTCCCTCAGACACTCCAGGCTGTAGAGATTATCCAGGCATCCGACAGTGAAGGTCTCGAGGGCCGGCAACCTGCAAACAGAGGGCAAATGACCGGCGTGCACCCAAGTGCACCACACTCTGTGTTGTCCCCCTCACCTCCACTTGCGACAGTAGGCTACACCTGCCCACAGTGGTCCCTTGAGCGACACGCTCCGCAGCTTGGGATACTCGTGGCGAGGTGGGTCCTGTGGATGCATGTACACACATAAGTGTGTGCCAAGCAGACCTGCACGTCGCCTACCATCAGCTTCGGCGGATGCTTCGAAGAATCGGCGTGTGTGAAGACCGTAGCGGCCGTCTCCTCCAACAGATCCACCTCCTCTATCGTCTTTTTCGACGCCTGCACACGCACAGAGGAAAATTCTATCATCCATTCACTCTGGAATGTCTTTCCTTGCCATCCCGCCCATCTCACCTCAATCAATTTGGCGTATTTGGCCCGGTTGCCGACGGCTTTGAGGTGCTCACCCTCGCAGCGAAACCATTGGGCCTCACACCTCCCCAGCTCACGAAGTGCCTCGTCCTCTGACGCATCGCTGTCCCCCTCCATGCTGTCGGGCCACTGGTGCGGCCCCTGCCTGCCCACCTCCTCGTCCGTCGTGATGCTGGCCCTCTGCAGCGAGCTGAGCCGCACGCGCAGCTCTCTCAGCACGGGCCGGCGCGCGTTGCGCCACTTCTTGTGTGTCCGGGGGGTGACGGTCAGCCGCTTGTAGAGGGCGGGGTCCTTGGTCGACTTGTGAAGGGAGGGGCAGAGACTTCCGAGTGCGATTGTTTCGTCGGTAAGCAAGTTGTCGCACACCTTGCATAGGCCATCGAGAGGAAGACCAGGAAGACTGACGGCCCGCTGCACCAAACATGACGCAAACCATGCCGAGGTGAATGTACGGCGATATGTGCATGCCCGCGTCCCATGTGTCGCATTGCGTACCTGATTTCCCTCTTGACCATCTGCCATCCCTCTTTCCCGGCCTCTACACCTCACCTGACAAAGCACAGCACATTCGCCGCAAGGAGATCTCCATCGGAGCGGGCAGTGGTGTGTGTGTTTTGCCTGTCCTCTCACGCACCTTCCTGGGACGCCGGCGTCATCATCTCCATGGCATGCAGGGTGTCCGACATGAGGGCGTCGCGGGCTGATGCGATGAGTACAATGAGCCAAACCACTCGTCGGCAGATCTCTACAAGTCGCTAAAGCCTCCGCTTTTCTGCATCTGCCAGCACAGCATGCCGATCGCCTCCGAGCCGAGAAAAAAGTGAGGAAAGCAAATGAATGATGAAGTGGCGACAGACCACGGGCGGCCGACGCCCTTTCTGGGGGAGGAAGAGGTCTCCAAGATCAGCCCTCTATCGTGGAAGGTGGGCCACGGCGGCGACTACACCCAGGGCAAGAACGGGCGCCTCACCAGCCATCGGCTGCTGTGGGAGGAGGAGGGCAGCTCGGCATGGAGATGCATTCGACTCGACCGAATCAGGGACACTGAGATCAAGGTAAGCCGAAAGGATGGATGGCACCCATCGCGGCAAGCTTTTGTGTTGGTTGGTTGGTTTGTCTGCCTGTATCTGTGCAGAGCTCTTGGTTTCATGGCCGGAAGGTGGTCTTACAGCCCAGCACACCAACAGACGCCCCACCGATATCTCTCCGCACCGCAGAGTCGGGTGAGCAACCGCGGTTGCTTCATCGCTGCAATGGTGCATCTCTGCCTGTGGTGTGTGGGGTCTGCCTGTGGTGTGTGGGGACCGCTCAGAGCTGGATGCTCTGCACAGCCATGTGACGGCTGCCCTGCAGCAGGCTGTGTGGAAGGTGAGTGAACACAACAAGAGAATGGATGGATGGATGTATCGATGGACCGGTTTGTGTTGGCACCGATTGGGATGTATTGCAGGTCCATGGATACCAGTTGCAATCGAACGTCGGCGGACTCAGTACACATACGTGCATGCACACGCAGAAGAGAAGCTGCCTGCCAGCGACAGGACGGGTGTCGTTGGTCTGTCTGCTTCAGGCCGTGTGTTGAGGAGGCAAGAGGGCAGGATGCAGCAACAGGAGGTGAGCCAGAGCAGAGAGCTGCACGGATGGATGGGTGGATTGGATGTGTGCCCTGTGTATTGCGTTGCTATGGCTGTGCAGGAGACAGTCCGCGAGGCGTTGAACGACCTCCAGGCCCTCAGACAAAACGCCAACCAAATGGTATCCTGCAGCTGCCAATGCATGTGTGCCGAACATCCATTCATTCGCCGTGTTTGTTGATCCATTGTCAGGCCGAGATGGCTCGTCACTTGTCGCGGTCCTACAGCAGCGGCAACGCAGCTGGGGGAGCCGAACAAGCCGAAAAGTGAGTTCACTGACGAGGGAGGGGCACACAGACATCAGATTCCTCCACACGCGATCGATTTGCCTGCGCGTCAGGGATGAGTTGTCTCAGCTGATGGTCGACTACGGCCTTGCCGACGCGACACTGCTGTAGGTCGAGTGGGGGGGAGAGGTAGAGAGCGACAACCACACTGTGGGTGATGTCGCTGTGTTTCTGCAGCCAGAAGGCTTCCAGAAGCGCTTCTGGCGACGACTATTATCAGCACCTTGCACACGATTTGGGTAGGCAGATTACCGAGCAGACGAGGCAAACAGTCGTTGTGTATTTGATGTGGATGTGTGCAGGTGCCTTTGTGCAACGAGTGCTGGCCAAGTCGGTGACCAATTCTTCGGCTCCCGAGGCGTCGACCACCGACCAGCCGATGAGCGACGCGGAGGGTGATGATGCGGCAGTGGCGGCGGCTCAGAACGGGGGCATCTCCGGGGGCAACGGGATGCTGCTGCTGCATGACCTCTTCTGCCTCTTCAATCGATGGAAAGGCACAGGTAGGTACATACAACAAAACGACGGACATCATGTTGGCACCATCACGTCACTCTCTCTGTCGGTCAGAGTTGATATCGCCGGAGGAGCTTCTCACCGCTATGCAAATGGTGGGTTGGCGCGACACACGGACCACAGGAACTGTCGACACTTCCATGTCTTTCTCTCTCTGTGTTGTGTTTGGCCATGCAGGCGTGTGACGACCCCTCACAGGGTCTCCGGCTGCGTCGGTTCGCCAACGGTCGTGTGCTGGCGGTTCACTCGGCCGACATGGACGACGACCGGATGGCGGCCACACTGGTGGCGCTCATCGAGCGGACGGCGGGAAGAAACGGCGGCATGTCTGCGTCTCAAGTGGCTGCGGCCCTCAAGTGCTCGGTGTCTTTGGCGTTGCTGCAGCTGCAGGCAGGGGAGGCGAGGGGGCACCTGGTGCGGGACGATACTGTCCAGGGGCTGTACTTCTATCGGAACTTCTTCTTTGATGACGCAAAATGACCAGGACTGCCAGACAGTGATGTTTATGTGTGATGTGTGCATGCTGACGCGCTGTCTAGACGCGTAGACCAACTAAATGTTGAGGCGCATACTTTGAACTGGCATTTGTACACATACGTTTATTCAGAGACGTATGTATACATTTTGCGATTGATTCCTTTGCTTGCGAGTCATGCATTCGTTCTGTTGGTTCGTTTTCTCATCCGATCATGTTCAGTACACTCAGCTCGGCTCGTGTGTGTCGCTCGAGTGGATTTGACACATACTGTCTGCTTCACTCATCTGAGCTGTGGGATGACGTACGGTTTGGTCTTGCACTCGGCCGGAGGCTGCAATACCCGTGCAACGCAGCATCAATCAATCATCCATCCAGAGTCCAGCCATTGATGAGGGACGCGTAGATGGATGGATGGCTCACCGTACCGTCTCGTTCTGGTCGTAGTGGCCATCACGCACACCTGTTGACACGGGTAAAACACACGACACATGAGCTGTCTGGTCTGGTGGGTGTGTGTTGTGATGTGATGCATGAGTGACGTACGAGTGGTGTGTGCGTTGTTGGTGGCTGGAGTGACGCGGACGAGCGGTGTTTGGATGCACACGAAGCCGCCGCCACGCTGCTGATATATCAACACGCACACACACACACATACACACGCACACACACAACGCTTCCTGGTTTGTGAATGCATTGCATTCCTCTTTAATTGTGTGATGGATGCCTTGTGTGCATCGATGGCGTCCGGCAGCTCATCCAGCGGCTTGTTGTAGCCAATGTAGTCCAAACTCCCCCCAGCCATGACCTTTTAAACACACACACACACACACACATTGGTTAGATGGACACACACACGTCTCTCCGTCCCTCTCTCCCTCCGTCTCAGTGACTGACTGCCTCACCCACCCACCCAGCAGATTGCGCGGCGGACTTCAACGAAGGAAGACGAGAGGAACTTGATGAGGTAGTGCTTCATGCAGAACTTGCACCACCGCTCGGCCTTCTGCTTCGAGTACAGACACACGCCGGCGATGGATGTCAACTCCTTCAGACTCACGCCGGTCATGCACAGACCACCCTGACACACACGCACACACGCACAGAGAGGGAGGGAGGGAGGGTTCAATTGTGTATCTGTCTGTCTTTCTGCTGCATGGTTTACGCGCTTGGCGTGTGCGGCCGATAGGACGAATAGCACAGACGAGGAGGCTGCGCTGGACAACGCGGAGACACAATCCGACTCACTCTCGAAACTGACACACAATCAGAGATACACACATCAGCTGTCTGCCTCTCTCTCTTTCTCCCCTCCCTCCCAGTGTGTGTGTGTGCGGGACCTCTTGACGTTCGTGGCGAAGCGCTTGAGGTCATTGACAAACGCAAACAAATGACGAGGCTCGACATCGTTGCAGTAGACGTACACAACCCAACTCTGCACAGTGACGCAGTGCAACACAATCGAGGCATGGCGCAATGCAATGGGTGTGTCTGTCTCTCGTGTGCAGTGCCGTGCCCACCTGGTCGAGGCGGCTGGTGGACGAGTAGGTCATGTCGCTGTTGCTGTCACGATTGCACGACATGATCATTTCACACGCTGATTGGCTCACTCACTCACTGACTGACTGATGTCCTGAGCGGCTGCTTGTTGTCGACTGTTTGTCGGTACACGACGGACGAGTGGAAAAACGACAGAGTGAGACCGCACAGGCTGGTCAATTGGCTTTCTGCTGCCTGTGTCTGTGTCTGTGTACGTATGTGTTACGGATCGTCGATATGTGTTTTGCGTTGTGTGTATGTGTGAATGTGTGTATGTGTGTATGTATGCGGTCGTCGATCGTGTATGTCGGATCGGTTGCATTCATTAGATAGATGTTCGCTTCTCTTGGCACAGATAGACAGACAGACAGACAAACTCGTTAGTTACGTGAACAATGAGTAAGTTATTTGTCAATATACGGGCAGGCACAATTGGTTCAGGTCGCTTTGCGCAATGCACCCACCCCTCACACATATGCATGCAGACGTAAACCCCCCCTCTCTGCTCACTCTCACGTCATTGTTGGCACTGCACGGCACACACAAACACGCAGACGCACACACGCACGGCGACATCCAGACAACAAGACTCTGTGTGTGTGTGTGAGTGCACCCACATACCGGCCGTCAGGAAAATCGGTACACCAGGGGGTGGGTGTATGTCTGGTGGAGGGATGTGGGTGGGTGGATGAACGGACGGGGCAGCATTGCATTGCATGCCTTCACTCACTCACTCACTCACTCACTCACGTGTGTGTGTATAGGTCGGTACGAAGGACCACCCCTCTCTCTCGATGCGTTGGCTCTCTCATTCATGAGCATTATGTGCCGCTGCGCCTGAATGGAAAAGGCAGGCGGCCGCGTGCACGTGGTGAGTGACGATATTCAAGACAACAGGACAAGACAGACAAGACAAGACAAGCTGGGATCGAGCAATACTAGATGAATGGGTGAAGGAAGGTGCATGCACACACAGATAGTCATACGCAGGCAGGCAGGCAGGCAGGCAGGAAGTTGTGTATGCAGAAGGAAACCTCTCTACAACTCAAAAGGAAACAACGCATATATGTATGTGGAAAAGCAGACAGACAGACAGACAGACAGGTGGGGCTGAGTGAGTCGCTGAAAGTATCGACACAGACAAAGGAAGGAAAGCAGGACGGAAGGCACTTATACTTGAATACACACTCGTGAAGATTCGATTCCTACTTATGGCTGACGCCAGACAAACAAACCTCTCTGCAAGCCTCCACACAGATCGACTCAGACAGACACACGGGCAGACACCCACCCGCCACGCATCGAGTTCCCCTCCCCCCTCCCGTAACCCTGCTCTGCCCAACACACCTTACAGCCATCCACCCCATCAACCAACCAACCAGCCCAATAAACACATCCATCCATCCATCCGTCCATCATATGATCCGTCTGTGCGAGATGCTTCGTGGGACCTCATCCGGCGGCGGCTCCAGCATCGTCATCGCCATCTCGTGCTGGTGGGTCGGGGGCTGTATGGGGGATAGAGACAGGGGGCTCTCGGGGTGTGCTTTCGGGTCCACGAATGAGGCGGACGGCGTCATGGCGCATGTGGTGGTGTGTGCGCTCATGGCGGTGAGCTCCATCAGCATGGCGTCGCCGTCAAACTCCAGCTTGATCGGCAAACCAACATTGAGCAGCGCCTGAACGTGCCAGACGGTGGATGGCAAGACAGCGGCGTGTGTGGTGGGGGCGGCGGTGCTTGTGGTGCTTGTGGTGTGTGTCCAGGTGGTGCTTACGAGTCCGCTGATTTCGAGTGTCTTCTTTCCGAACTGGTAGACCGGCCGATCCTGGTCCTCGGCAAACTGCACCGACGTGATGCGCCTGCATGGATGAAAGGCAGAATGGAATGGCACGCACACGTGCGAGAGACACGCACTGAGTTTACCTGATTGTGGTGGGCACGAGCTCACTCACGACGTATTTCTGATGCGGATCTAGCCCACGCAGCTGCACAGCAGAACGACAGAAACAGAGCCGTCTGTGTGTTGTGGGTGTGGGTGTGGGTGTGGGTGTGGGTGGCTCGCTCACCCGCAGCCGTGGGAGGTATCTGCCGAGTGTCTTCTTGAATGTGACGAATGCGAAGACGAGGGCCTTGAGGCGGTTGGGGCTGACAAACATCCACGCCGCCACGTTGTTGGTCGAGCAGAAAGGATTCCACAGCCGATAAAAGTCTGTGCGACCACAAGACGAAACACAGTGCGGCAGATGGACAGCTGGTGGGTGGCTGGCTGATGTGACGTGAGCTAAGGTGAGGCACGTACCTCCGTGGAAGATGATGGGCGCCAGCCTGGTCCTCAGCCGATTCATCGCCTTGAGCTGCTCCTTCTGCACACACACGCATCAGACACCAGACACCACACCACACCACATATCAGACAACACACATAGATGCGATGCCCTTGTCTGCGCGCTCACCTCTTTGGGTGTGACCTCCTTGGTGAGGTCGAGTTCATAGCCAAAGGTGCCGCACAGGGCCACCACGAACCGCGTCTTGAGTGGGGTCCGACGGAACGTCTGACCGACCGACCGACCGATCGACCGATCGGTGCATATCATACACATCAAATCAACACACACACGATTGAACAAACACGCATGCACTGCACCGCACTGGCTGGCCATGTACTCTTGTTTGGTGTGTGTGTGTGTGTGTGTGGATCTGGCCTACCTGGTGGTTAGGGACCGAGGAGATGTGAGAGCCGATGGATGAGATGGGGTAGGCCATACTCGTGCCGTACTGGATGCGGATCCGCGCAAGGCCGTCGGTGTTGTCGCTCGCCCATATCTGACGCACACACACCCAATCACATCACACACACCAGGTGTGTTGAATCGTCTTTGTGATGTGAGTGCCTGTGTGTGTGTGTGTGTGTATCGTCATTATATAATAATACAACACTACCTGTGGCCCGTATTTGAGCATGGCAACGTCGAATCGTCCCCCTCCGCCGGCACATGTCTCGACGATGATGTGTGGGAAGTTGGTGCGGACCCGTTGGAACACCTCATACACACCCAACGCATAGCGGTGGAACACCTCACCCTGCACACACGCACACACACACACAGAGAGAGAGAGAGAGAGAGACACACACACACACAGAGAGAGAGAGATAGACAGTGCTCATGCATGTATGTGTCTGAGTGTGAGATCCACCTCACCTGTCTGTAAGGTGGCAGTTGTCTGGAGTAGACTTCGGTGAGGTGCCTGTTGCAGTCCCACTTGACGTACTCGATGTTGGCGCTGTTTAATATCGCCTCCAACTTGCCGTAGATGTAATCGCGCACCTGCACAACAGTCAGTCAGTCACCACACACAGACAGGTACCTGTCTTTCGATCACACACAGTACTCACGTACGTACGTCTTTTCGTGTGAAGTCGAGGACGAGTTGGTTCCTGCCCTCTGACCTCGACTTGCCGGACTGCCCCAGTGCCCACTCCGGGTTGGCCTCGTAGAGCTTGCTCTCCACCGATATCATCTCGGGCTCCACCCAGATGCCGAACTTGAGACCCAATCCGTTCACCTCGTCCACCAACGCCTTCAGACCTGCCATGCCACGTACGTGTGTGTGCATCTATGGTGCAGCGACAAACTGATGTGTGTGTAGGGGGGGGGGGGGGGGA